ATCTTATTTCTTCTGTTTGCTGTGGAAAAAAAGAGCAGGTATTCCTTTACAGTGATTTGTCTTTCTTGTAACTTCCAAAGACAAGCTCCCAACCCGTCACGTAATTTCTTATTACTCCCCAGATTCCTGATGATGCACTTCATATTTCATCCTATTTCTACTATTCCAGATCTCAAGGCTTTCCAATTCTTTCTAGAAAAAATGACATTCCTTCCGTGTATTCCCAATGCTTCTCAATTTTATCAACAAACTTTATCAGCACATTTCTACTTTTTTCCTTTCAGATTACTTCTGAAGTCTTGCATTGTCTTGATGACTGCAGTAGCTCAGACCATACATATAAACACATTTGTTACAGCTTAATCGTATGATACCTATTCAGCAGATTTATGAGAAACCCATGGTACTGAACCTCATTTTCATGCTTCAACTCTCTTATAATTCTCAGATTCTCTGGTCCCTTCACTTAAGCAGACTTGCTATTTTTAGTTTAAGTTTCATCTTGAATATAATAGTTCACATTTCTGTACTTTGTGTCTGACGACATTATCCTCATTAAAAGATGAGGAGAAACATCCATTTCGTTTCAGGGCCGCACCTAGGATTAATCTCAGGGCTATCCTCATGCCAAAATGCCTCTACTTAATTTTTTCTCTATTTATTCACATTTGTTTTTATAGTCTTTTCAAGGCCTAACAGGGCAACCACTGCTAAGCCTCTTCAGACCTCTAAAAAATACATTCTTTGCTGCTTACTCCCTTACCAGCTCTTCCCTACTCCTAAAACTTTTTCTGATACGGTTGTTTACTCAAGTGAACCTGGAATCCTTTTTCCCATTTCTGGGAACATGTCTGGATGTTTAAAAAACCCTTGGTCAAGATGCATTTGTTTTGTCCAACGCTTGAAAACAGCACCGTGCAGGGAAACCTGCGGATGTCAGCTATGGTCCTACAAGGGGCTGTTGGCCCCTTCTTGTCTCCAGTGAACGCACATTTTCCCATTTATTTGCTGACTGTACCTGCCAATACATTCAGGCTGGTCTGGCAAACCTGACATACGCCTAGCAGGCACAGAAGACACGCCAGTTTGCAATACTAAGGCACGATAGCGTCTTAACAAAGAAATCCCTGATAAGAAGTACACTTGGGCAAATCTTTTCTGAAAGACACCATTAATTTGCACATATACAACCATCCGCCCAAGTTTTCTATTGGTGAATATGTTCTTCTATTCAACTGAGCAGTAGCACTGCCATTATATCAACTGTCCACATTTTCAGGAAATTTGTTTCCCAAAGATTTTTACAATATATAGGCAGAAAGGGGGTATCCAAAATGACAGCAAAACTGCCTACATCACTTCACAGTGTAGCTCATGAAAAACATCCCATGGCTACAAGTCTTTTTTTTGCCATCACACTTGTAGCTGTCTAAGCTGTCTAGAAGTCTGTCAGAAATCTAAAGTATTTCACGACAACCCTATTACTTCCAGTGTTACTCACATTATGGGACAACAATATACATTTTATGGTATAATTGTGGTACAATTATACCACAGCATACAGCTTTCTGAAGCAAAATGGTATAGGTTCAGGTTTGCAAAGCAGTAAATGATCACAAGTCTCAAGAAGGAAAAAAGAGAGAGGACCTATGACTTAAAAAAAAAACCAAACCAAATAATCAGCTGAGTTATTTTGTAAATGATAGATTTTAGAAATAAGATGTATACTCCATTAAGTGTACAGTGGCCTCTTGCTTTTAAGTATGCTTTGAATATAAGATGTATTAATATTGTTGTTATGAGCTTGATTTTAATCATGGAATTTATGAATCTTTTCATATTTACTTATTTATTATAATACATGCATTTCAAAAGCTATCATTACCATAGAATCTAGGCAGTCATTGTGAAATCTAATCAGTGTACAGTTCTAGAAATGTATATTTTTCACGTAGTTCTACAGCCATATAAATTACTGTCAGTAATTGCATATATTACTGCACTAAAATTTCCTTGCAATGGCATGTTTTCTGGATTCTTTAAGGCAAGGGACTGTAAATTAGCTGAAAGGGAGCTCTCCCTTCTTCTCTTCACCAATGAATACCCTGTGCCACAGTAACCGTATTTCTTTGCCTAGAACCTTCACTTCTGGGAAAGAAGAGAGAAAAGGACGAAAGCATCAGATACCATTGATGTGCACAGTGTGCGTAACTGTTTCCAGTTATTAAAAATGATAAGAACCTTGTACTCAGGAGCTTATAATCTAATATAAACAGATGAGAAATGAAAACAGAGCAAGAGGAAGTTATGAGGCAAAGAGACAGGGAAGGAACAGAAGAGGAGATGGGAAACCACTGCTGGAGAGACTCCTGGGAGTTGGCATCAGCCCAAATCTCTCCTGAGGCCTCATCACATAAACGTGTGGCCTTCTCCTCCTCCATGTCTTTGGAGAAAATCTGCATTGCAGTCACTGGTGACCACAGTTCATTGACCTACAATGGCAAAGTTACTGGAAGAAGTTCAACTGTACCCAGCAGAGGATTTAAAAAAAAAAAAAGCCTCAGTTAGGACTGATAGAGGATGACAAGATGAAGCTGATACCAGTGAGACAATGCTCAAAAAATCTTGAAACCACTGCATTAGTAACACGTTCGCTGTAACTGATTACATTTGGCCTGGTGTCCAGCACTGTGGTTCAAATATCTAATAGTGCATCGTAAAGGAATACAGAGCGTGAGAAGACTTGTTCTTCCTGCCTTTGTAAGCTTACAGGTATATGACATTGACTTCAAGTAAGCAGTCGTAAAAGGTACTTTAAAATGTTAGTAATACAACAGAATAAAATCGTTAGCAGCTGTTGTAAATTGCTAGGCACAAATACTTAGACTATCACTTCTCTTATTTTTCTACCAGGATTAAATTGGGGTTGTAGTTTCTTTTGTGGGAGCTAATACACAAGCATCGAAGTGTGGAGGAAGGAAGTTCTGAATTTCACTTTATATATACGCAGTGATGTCAAACACCCAAAAAGAAAAAAAGGGAAACACTGTTCTCAGCTAGTAAGAAACGCTCTTTCCATGTATCTTAAAAACGCACTCTTCTTTTTTAATACTTCCGCTGCTTAAGCAGAGAACAGAAGTACTGCCATGGAGTGCTTTTAAAGTATTTAAATAAGGAACTGAAAACTCTTTTTTCTAAGATGGTAACAAATAAGCTTGTATGTACTCAGGAAAAAACAAGTTTGTCTGTTGTCAATCCTTGCCTTATCTTCTGGATTAAGGAATCTTCTCTTCTCCTTCCTAGAAATGTAATGATGTGCTCACAAAAAGTAATGGAACTGAATAATAGAAAATCCACATAATGCATATTTTCAGTAAGCAATCATTACTTCTGAAATGGAGACTAAAAATGAGAGGGTGATGCAAGTCCCAATGAAAAACATACTCCTCCAGTGAGAGATTACCCTTGGAAATCTGACATCACCACAAAATAAGAATAATAATCAGAAGACTCTCAAAAAGGGGCCAATTTATTTGACAGTTTTGGCTGTATTCTCATTGCCAAAGGAATTACTCGTAAGTGGCAGGTGGTGAAAGGCAGGGTGGAGCCCAGGGATGGTAATCACAACAGTAAGCAGATTTTAGCTCAACTGAGGAGAAAAATCACATTCCATATTAAATGATGAGAAGTCCATTCTATGCTCAATAGGAATTATAGGCCCCTAATGGGCTGCTGCAATTGCCATGCACAAATAAAAAAACAATGATACATCCAGAAGGGTTTCCAAGACTGGCTCTCAGGAGTTTTAAAGTTTTTCAAATGACAGCACATAAAAAAGATATACACAAGCCAGCAGTGGAATACACCAAGGTAAAAATAATCAGAGGAAGGCAATTACATCACACTGTAGTTTTTGTTCCAAACCAGCACTAAAACCAACTGGGACTGAAAGAGCATGATGATGCAATTATTCCAAATCTACATTTATGGGTACTAGCCTATAACCATTTTTTAAAGAATATAAAGTTTTCACTTCCAATTGATTAAAAAAATTCTTAGGAGCAGTGCTATATCACACACATGATTTCAAGGTTGCTTAAGCCAGAAGAAAAGACAAGGATGAGCTCATTAAAAGAATGGTCAGATTGTTTTTTGGTCACTCACAGCAATTACAGTATCTCTTAACCTTGCCACACCACAAATGACCCGAAAGTGTTTTCCAGTTGACTAACATCTGCTGAAGAACTTTTAAAGAAAAAGAAAGACAAATCCAGGAAGGATGATGGGAAGTATTTTTATTAATTATTGTCTTGTCTATAAAA